ATACTCTCAAGTATATATAGTTAAATTTTCATATTATTTAAATAAATATTTATAGAGAAAATTAAAATATCCAGTTTTTTTTGTTACGCATTATATAATTTATTATATTATAATTATCTGATTTTATCAAAAAAAAACTACATAATTCTTTAAATTATTTTTGTCTTAGAGAATTATTTTTTATAGAAGTTCTATTTTCTTTTATTATATAAATATAGTTAAATATATTACTTTTTTTATATTTTTATTTATAATTTTATTTTTTTTATATTTATATATTTATAAATATCTTCTAATTATTAATTTAAGTAATATATATTAATAATTATTTATTTTTTATGTAATATTAATTTATTTATTTAAAGATATTATTTTTATTTTGTAATAAAAAAAATAACTATTATAATAAAGATTAAGTTTTAATTATAAATTTTTATTTACTTTTGACTTATTTTTATATTATATCTTGAATTTTTTGTATAAATTTTTCTGATATTTTATAATATATAATTAAAAGATTATAATATACTTTTTTAATTTTTTCTCTTTACTTTTTTATTTTTATATTATCATTCTTGAAGTTTTGATATATACTAATTTTATAATTATTTCATATTATTTAAATATTTTATTAATATTTTTCTTTAACTTATTTTTTTATTTAAATAATTTTTTCTTTAATTCATTATTCTATTTGAATAATTTCTTTTTCAGCCCATTCTTTTATTTAAATAATTTCTTTATCTGATATTTCTGTTAAAAATTCAATAACTATTACTAATAGTAATTTGAAAATAATTTACTATATTTCTTGATGATAATACTAATCTTTTTTTTTTAGGTAAATTATAAACTTGCTTCTGTCACTTTATATTGAATATTATTAGTAATTTTTTGTTTGAATACTAAAACTTTCTTTTTATATAGTGAAATATTATGAAAATATGATTAAGTAAAGTTTTAAAAATTTTTAAAAAATAATTAAATAGAATATTATCAAGAATTTTCTTGAATTATACTATTAAAATATATTTTTAAAAATCTTATATTATATTTATTAGTAATATAAAACTATTAAAGTTTAATAAAATATTATATTAAAGTCAAGTTAATAATACAAATTATAATTATAAATATTAAATTATAATAATTAATAAAAAATTAACTAATAAAATTATTTTTACATGATAAAAATCACATGATATATTTTAATTTTAATCAAAATATATAAAAAGCATCTATTTTTAAATACTTATAACTTTTTTTATAAAACTTTTTTTAAATTCTGTTTAGTAATTTAATAAATCTTATCTTAAAAAATAATATTATCAATTTATTTTTTCTAGATTATTTCTTTATAGAGTGCTGATAGATTTTAAAGTTATATAATTTTATTAACTAGTTAAGATATCTCACATCATATATTTAAAACATTAAATATAAAATAAAATTTGGAATATGAAATATAAAATGAAATTTGAGATATGAAAATAAAATGAAATAAGATGAAATTTAAATTTATTAAATATGAATAACAAATATAATTCTGATCTTTTAGAAGATTCATTCAAATTCTTTTGTATAAATAATATTTTTTAATAATTTAATATAAAGAAAAATTTACTTGAAAATTTCACAAAATTCTTAATGCATTAAATAATTGATAATGATCTTTCCAATTTATTGGGAAATAACCTATTCCTCTTTTCCAGTTAAGGAAAAATCACACGATCTACCACTTTTTTCTTGATCTAACTGATTCTAAGAACCAATCAGCAGCATTGTAGAATTTGATATTTAATATATGCGTTGAAATTTTTCGCGTTAATAAAAATGATACTATCAAACTCATTTTCGCATTCCTCTTCAAAAATAAAAGGTATAGTTTGTGAAAAAAAACTTATTATAAAGAAAGGGAATTTATAAATCTAATTTGAATTGCGCATGATTTTTATAAATAGGTGTTATAATTTTCGTGCGGTCATTTTCGACTTCGTTTTATGCAAGTACTTCCTTAAGAAATGCCATAAGAGAAAGCTATATAGATGCTATGGCATATAAACCTCGAAAACTAGAGGAGATGGTAAAAAATATAGGTAAGCAAATAAATTTATACAACAATAATATCCTTATCAGCTTCATATAAAAAAATATCTAAATCTGATTAGATCCACAACTTTTAAAGTTAACGACTCAATAAAAGAAACTGGAACTATTGTCTCACCCTCGCCAGTACGAGAACAACAGCATTCAGAAACACCGATATCATCCTACGATCTTTCAATTTCATTATTACTTTCGGCAGGTTGTCACTTGGGTCACAGCACATCACTCTGGAACCCGTCAACCTCTCCATTTATTTATGGAACTCGAGCGGGTATAAGTATAATTGATTTAGAGCAAACGTTAATTTATTTACGCCGTGCATGTAAAGTCACTCGTGAGATATCATTTCTCGGCGGAATCATTTTGTTTATTGGTACGAGACCAGGGATATTCGGTAAAGTGACAATTGAGGCGGCAAAACGCGCCGAAGCGTATCAGGTTGCGAAACGGTGGATTCCAGGTACAATCACAAATTCGTCTCAGGTTCTCAGAAAAATGTTGCTCGAAGACCAAGAAAGAGCTGCATCTAATCGAGATCCGCAGCAACAGGAAGTTCTAAAGGCATTCAAGCCTGATCTAATGATTATTTTGAATCCTATCGAAAATCAGATTGCCATCGCTGAAGCACATTCTGCTAATATACCTACAATCGGGATCGTGGACAGCGATTTTGATCCGGGACGTGTTAGTTATCCGATACCTGCAAATGATGATAGCGTCAGAAGTGTGGAACTGATTGCGGGTGTATTAAGTGTTGCCGCAAGAGACGGACTTAATCACCGACGAAAGATCGAGGGTGATTTAGAAAAAAAGAAACAGCAAGAGATTACGCAGAAAGGTGTCGGAAATTGGAATAAAGTGCTTTATCAAAAAGCATAATAATATGAAAGTTTTTGGTGAATTAATTTTTAATAATTACAGTCTATTTTTGCAAGAGACTAACAACATTCAACAATTCCAACTAATTGGTAATGGTCCAATGCAAAAGATTTGTATCTCAGATAAACATTAATAAATTATTTTTTAAAAATAAAATTTTAATTCTTATTTGATTTAAATATTTTACATATTATCATTACATAAAAACTTTTGACTATAATGCAAGCAAGAGTACCAATACAAAAATGATTTCATAGATTGACTAGAGTAATCTGTATAATATAAGATTTTTAGTCAATAAAAATTAAATATCTATTATTTATTATTATTTATTTCAATAATTATTATTAAAGTTATTTATTTTTATTAATACTAATAAACTATTATAGATTTGAGATTAACAATTTTTTGTTATTATAAAGATTGTTTATAATAAGTTTTTTTTGAATTACTATTTTATAAATTTAATATATAAAATTAGTAAATTTAATAATTAAACTTTGAGACTTAATTTCTTTATAACTACTTGTTCAATATTTATGAAATATGGAATTCTAATATTGCAAATTGATAAAAATAATGCTTAAAATATAAAAAAAACCAATTTTTCTTATTTTTAGAAAAATATTGCTTTATTTATTACTAAATAAAAATACAACAGGTTATTCTTTATTTAATGTAAAAAATTATGAAGGTTAGTAAATTTTGAATGACTTTATTGGAAGCAATTATTAATTTTTATTTTGAGATACATATCTCTTTGCACCGGATCATAGTTTTAAATAAATAAAATATTTTTTTTCTATGAGCCAAAATTTCATTAATTCGTCACATTTTCAATGACTATCACCTCATTATCTAGCTCCTTTTCTTCAAATTCAGCCATCGCCACCGCATCATCAGCCATCTCCTTTTCTTCAGATTCAGCCATCACCACCACATCATCAGCTATCTCTTTCTCTTCATTCATGATCACTACTTCACCTATTTCCTTCTTTTCAACTTCTTCAATTTCCCCTTCTTCCTGTTTCTCTTCTTTGATTGCTTCTTCCTCGGTTGTCAATGTCGAAGACTCAATTACAGTCTTATCAGAAACCTCAACTTTTTCAACTGATTCAGTAGTTGCTGTTGTTTCTGTAGTTTCTGTAGTTGTTGAAATAGAAGTTTCTTCAATCTGTTCTTTTTCAACCGATGTTTTTGAGTCATCGACTTTCTCTGTTTTGGGGGGTGGAGGTAACGCACGAGCTGGTTTTGGACGTCGTGGTCGATCTTTTGTTATCTGTAAAAATTATAAGGTCGTTATTATAAATACTAGTGATTTCTCAATTGATTTCTAATCCTAAGTTCACTTACGTGACTTAATGGTTTTGAAGTTTTCTTTTCGTGCTTTTCTTCTGCCGATCCTCCTTCCCCGGCATCTTTATTTTCTATTTTTTCTTCATGTTCTTTTTTAGATTCATCAGAATTTCGCTCTGCTAGATCAGGTCGTTTTAATCCTGGAATCACCCGAACACGTTCTTCACCTTCTTCAGCTTCTACATCCTCTGCACTGATGAGCACTTTACGCCCTCCTATACCAATGCCACGTCCCATACCCGGTAACTGAATTTTCCCACTACCGAATACACTCTCGAGTCGTTGCGAGATAGCTGAATCGATTTTACCTGTTTTTAATTTGGGCGGTTCAGTTGTAGTTGAATCGGATTCGGTGTTTTCGGTGGAAGTAAGGAAAGCAGCATTTAATTTACGTGGTGGAGGTGGTGCTGCAGCTAATGTATTACTCGTACTTTCATCCTTTTCTTTCTAATGGGAATTTGTCAAAGAAATAATGAAAATTCATGGATATTTCAAAATTCAAAAGTAAATACTATATATCAACTTACTTGCATCCACGGCAATTTATTTAACACTTTACGCCCGGGAACTGGCCGTGCAGCGGCTGCAGCAGCTTCTTCCTCTCGTCTCTTTCGTTCTTGCTCTTCGAACATTGCCGCTATTTTATTTTTCTTTTTTATGCCGCCGGATGGAATTTCGGGAGGATTAGATGCATCGACTCCCTTTTCCTATGTAACAGTTATTTAGTTGATAAGAAACCAGTTTCTTCAATAATAGCTTGGATTTACCTTACTCGCAGTCAAAAATGGTTTTGTTTGTAATTTACCCGGAACTTTTGGTAAATTCCATTCCTTTTCTTTATCTGTTTTTTCGTCTTTTGTACTTGTTTCGACAACATTAGCTTCTATATTTTTTGAAATTTGTGTTTCTTGCACAACAGTCCCTTCACGCTCACTAATTTCTATTTGTTCCTCTTCCTGCGAAATTTCAACATTTTCTTTAATTTCTACGGAAACGGTCTCAGTTTCAGAACTGGATGATGTTACCGATGTAGTACTTTTTGTTGTGGTCAATGATACTTTACTACTGTCATTTTCTTTGTTTTTGCTGCTTGTCTCTAAAGATTTCTTTTTTATTATTCCACTTACTTTTCCCACATTAGAATTATCGGCCCCTGTTGATATCTTATCACTTTCTGCTGCTGTCACTGCTTTTTGTTCATTCCATTTATCTAAGACTGTTTTTTTCTTTGGTGGTAATGGTGGACGACTAGGTTTAATCGATTCACTTTTCTGTTCTTTCTCTCGTTGACGCCAAAGTGCTGCTATATTTTCGCGGGGAATATCGGAAGCAGTGGGTGATGGCTGTGTTTTTGATGGCGATGTAGGACTTGTCGTCGTTGATGTAGCTGTTGGAGAAATGGGCACTTTAG